CAATACAACACCATTCTGCCATGCAAGAACACACAATCAAAGCACTCCCAACAGTATTCTCTGGATACGTTCTAGCTTGTCAATATCCATCTTTAATTATGGTGCCCAGATTTGAACACAGTATTCCAAGTGAGGTCTGACTAACGTAAAATAAAGTGGTACCATTACTTCCCTTGATCTAGATCAGGGGTCCCCAAACTAAGGGGAGTGGACCGGATGCAGACCTCAAAGGTAATCCCCCCTCCTTTAAACTTAGGGGTCATCCTAAGTCTGAATGACTTGACTTGAATGCATACAACAAAAACAATCTTAATTAATCTGACTATCTCGGATTAAATAAAGTATTTATTTATTATCAGGCAAAAGCAGGCCTGCACTTCCCATTGACATCGTTCATGTTTTTTCAAACCACACACCCTGCCCCAGTCTGAGAGACCGTGAATCGGCCCGCTGTTTAAAAAGTTTGAGGACCCAGATGTAGATACGTTACTCCTATTGTGATGCAGCCTAAAATCACATTTTTGTGGCTGCTGCATCACACTATTGGTCAGCCCATTGGTAATGTTAAAAAAGAATTTAGCATAGGTGTGGACTTCCAGATATTGTTGAACTGTCAACATCACTTCACACTCGCTATGTTTGCTAAAATAACAGTTCATAGCAAGAATAATACCAGCCTCATTTGAAGCAGTTATACCGCCGTCCTCCTTGTCGCAGCTGCAAAGAAATACCCTTTCCAGTAATGGCATCCCCTCCTCTGCCGCAAGGAAGAATTTGGATGTTTTTGCCTTCTTTTTAAACATTTTAAAAACCTAGAGAACCTAACGAAGGTGCAGTTAAAACCAATGACAAATTGATTTCAAACAATATCTTATGGCTTGTTTCCATTAACCATAATTGATATTAATCCAAATGTAAAATTCAGGCACACTAAACAGAAATAAGATCCTTCAATTTCCTGTTCAATGTACAATATTAGAAGAGAAGGAATATTAAGATAGTGAAGGAAAACTAGCTAAAAGCAAACAGAACTGCTCTCTTTCCAATGAGAAAAAGCATAATTCACTTTTGCAGAAATCCAGTTCACTAATTATTTTGTGTTCCGACAATGGGATATTAGTCTAAGTTAATCTCCTATATGCTACCCAGTAATGTCTGTAACTTATATTATTCATCACAGCAATTGCCTAAGTCTTTCTGATTTATTTTTATACTTCGTCTAATACATGCACTTCTGCACAATAATATATCAGTCGGAAAAAACTGAAACCTACCATTTTTGCTTTTTGGACACAACTGTGCTAAGCACGTGCATCTTTATATTACCCTAAAATAAGCACAGTAAAGCAGTCACCCACACAAAAAGCCCTGTCACACTTCATTGGAGATTAAATTTGTCTGCAATAGAGGAAGCATTTGGAGCTAAGAAACAAAACTGCTGGGAGTGAATTAAAGTTCATACATAACAGTAAACCAGGATTTTGGGGGTATCCTCTCTTAACATTTAACAAGGTGCATAATAGTGCAGGTAGCCTGTTTATGCTCATTCTGTTCTCTTTGCAAATATGAATGGCTAAACCAACAAGCAGCAGAAAGCTGATGTCCACACCACCCTGGCTTCTTGCTTATAAGCCGAAAAGCATATACTAAAACCACATCCTGGTTTGCAATCTTGGTTTGTGAAAGTGTGCAAACACTTTCTGCAAAATTCTGACTTTTCAGGTCTGGTAAGTTGTGTTGTCAATACTTGTAGAAGGTACCACACAAGAGTGAACATGGAACAGCTCACTCATGGTACACAAGCATTCGGTAGAATCTTGCTTTATAATCCCATGCAAGTGTTTCTAGAATCAAGAAAACTGTAATCTAGACAAATCAAGTCCGACTATGTTCACAAAAGACAAGCAAATCAGTCACTCATCGATTAATTGAAATCAGTGAAACTTAAATTAATTGTGATAAACTTTTCACACTGGTTTCAAAGGGATGTCAGTCCAACTAACTTGCTCAGGATCCAAACAATAATTTTCTCAACTACTAAAGTTAACTAATATTATATGGGATCAGATGTCATTTCCATCATTCGGACATTGGACAAAGCACCAAAAAGCATAATGATGCTAAATCGTATAAAAGCTATTACAACAACCAGGGGCACCAAAGCCAAGGTGTGTTCTCAAGTTCAGTGGCATTAACTAGTATGGATCAATTAGTCTTACTGAAATGAGATACTGCTGAGGCCTGGTCTGAGAAGGAAGGGGACCCTTTGGTGGTGGGGCCTTTTGCTCCTGAATTGGAGCCCACCACTCCTGTGGTGCTGGAGGGAAAAAGTAGCTCTTCTCTGGATGATGGGAATTGCCTCACAGACAGATCTGCTTTGAGGAATAGCGTTACCCATGAAACGATGCCATAGGATCTTCCTGACCTTGAGAAAGAGGCGGGGGAGGTGGAACATGTTGGGTTGATGCCTATAACTCAGCACCTACAGTTACAAAGAGATAGTGACAAGGAAAGACAATTAAGCTTTTCCCAGTATTTGAAAAATAAACAACGGGATTCCAGGTGTTAGACTGATAGTGTCTCCATGGGAATGAATTCAGTTTAAGTTAGCCCCTTGAGTTGTTCTGTGTGTGAGAGAGACATTGAATTTTCAAGAGTCATTTTTAATGTGCATTTGGTCATGTTTTCATGTCATGTTTTCTTGTTTAATATTGGGAAATCATATTTTGGATACAGTTCTTCATCTATGTTCTATGGATTTTTTTCCTTTAGTTTCACTATTGGAACCTTCTGTGTACTGCATCAAGCATATTATGACTGTAACCTATATTTTGGAATGATTTTTGAAGTCACTATTTGGGTTATACTTCTGTTGTTACCTTTTACGTATACCTGGAGGATACTTTGCTGTTTTGTACTCTGGAATGTACTATTGAACTAGCTTTTTTTATTGAACACTATTTTCTTTAATAAACTTTAAACAGATTGATTCCTGTTGGCTGAGCTATACAGGCTCTTCATTTTGGGTGAAAGGGTGCCACATAGGTGGCTGGGCTGCAACAGATACACCCATATGTCTCCAGCCTAAGGTGTCTCTTCTCTATGTTCCTTGATCGTAAATAAAATAGAGGACTGAATGTGTGCTTGTGTGAAAGCTCTGCTCCTGATCCCAAGTGGGAGATGGGACTCCTTGAAATCATCTAAGCTGCCTCCACCTACTGATTTAGCCCCCCTGGCTCAGTGGGAAACTCCTGATGGGTTGATGTGGTCTTTTCCCTCTTGGACTCTGTAGAGACTTTCCTATTCCTCCTTTGTGGTGAGGGATGAGAATGCGAGCAAAAGGCATGTGACAAGAGTATAAAAAAGCAATCTTTTTATTTTGAGCAAGCAATCTACTAGTGCATCTACACTGTTGAATTAATGACATTTAATACTGCTTTAACCTCCATGACTCCATGACTCCCTGGAATATAGCGAGTTGTAGACCTTGTAAAACTAAAACTCTCGTGATTCCATAACCTTGAACATGGCAGTACAAGAGATGTCAAACTGCATGAATTCTATAGTATAGCTGCACCCTGCATTTCTGTTGTAGAGGTCTGCACGCTGGTCTATAACTCTGGAGACCAGGATTTGATTCTCCACTCAACCCTGGAAACCAATGGGTAATCTTGGGTGGGTCACATACTCCAACCAACAAAAAACTCTGTTAGGGTCACCATGGGTCAGAAACGACTTGAAGGTACAACAACAATGTTTTTACATGAAATAATCTTCTATCAGGCACCCTTAGAGAAGTTACAAAATAGCCAAGGTCATATTTAGCTGAGGTTAAAGAAGCAAAATCGTCTAACATGTCTGAGAAATCCCTATTCTACTCACTATACAAACAGAATCCTAGTTTTAGGTGTTCATGGGAGCTGGGAGTCTGGATGTTTTGCTCAGCTTCAACCAAGTTTCCTCCCCAGTGAGGCAGGGTACATCATTCCTTTGTCTTCCTTTGTCCCTCTCCTGCCTTATGATCGCCAACAGAAATATCTTGAGGCTTCCCAAACCTAATCACCCTCACTGGTCAGTGGTCTCCTGTGATCTTTGACTCCTTCGTGATGCTGACCCCAAACAATTTAGCAACTACACACATCCAGATCCACCTGGAGAGGGGAGAGATACCCCTCCCCTAATGGGAGAACCCACGACCACAGCTTGCCTTTAATTTTAGTAATGGCATCAGCATGTGAATCTCTCTCTCAAAAACTCACATTACTTTTGGTCTATTGCTCATTAATCTAAATCCCCGGAACAAACCCCAAGAAGGGAATAATATAGCAAAAGAACGCAATGGAGGGGAAGTACAGTACATATGTCTGGATATGGGAGGATCAGAATTTCTATCCTGCATGATTACTTTTCATGTAATCCCCCAACCCATGTTAATGGAGCTGACAGAAAAATAAGAGTTCAATTGTATCTAGTTTATCTTTAAAATAATTTGGCTATATTTCTCTTCTTGAAAGACAAAAAAAAAAAACAGCGTAAAATGAGGGGGGGAAAGGTATGGATTAAGTCCTATTATACAGCAAACTCTCAGTTAACCCGAACTCAAACAACCAGAACCCGCAAGCAACTAGCAGAAATATCAAAGAAATAATACTTTAAACACAAAAGCTGGTTTTATAATACATCAAAATAATATAACTGTGTGACTTTATGTATGGTTTGTCTTTATTTGTCTTTATTCGCTTTTGTGTACCTTGTTTCAAAATTAATATCAAGTCAATACAGAGTTTATGGTTTGTTATGGGGCACTGTATTAGTTAAAATAGTAACTTTCAAGCAACTAGAAACTACATTTATCTGGCATCTACCAATCCCCATCGGTGCCGGTTAGCCGAGAGTCTACTGTATAAATGTTCATAGTAACTTTAATAATATTTGCACAGGGCTTATGAAACAGTTACAACCAACAACACTAAAGCAATACTCACTGCCCTCTCACACACCTTTTTGCCTCCTCTTTTTCTCCAGCAAGTCATAATGGAGATCTGCAGAAATCTATATGGAACTGGATCAATCTCTAGAAAAGGATCCCCAATAATTATATTCCTTTGGCTCACTAAAGCCATCAACAAATGTAGCACTTGGACAGGAAGATCAAGTCTCAAGAGAGCTGAAAAGAAGACGAGACAATCAGGAAAGAGCAGTGGTGGGGTCGGGGGAGAAGAAACCACAGAGGAGGAGGGGAAAAACCACTAGTGTACCCTGTGACTCTGAGAAGGAGGAAGTAGCATATGGTGGGCGGAGGAAGCAGTTTTGCGGATGGACTGCAGTGCCTTCGTTATCAGAAAGGCCACACAAAAAGTATATGTCATGGTTTTGCATCTAAACAGTTTCTTATCTCTTTCAAATGAACATATAATTTATATTAACGGTAACAAACAGCAGCATTTTTTTAATTTGACGTATAACAGTAAAATCTAGGAAATAAACACCCAAAATACGCAAAACATGTGTCAATTAGGTGGGGAAAAGCCATCTCACAAGTTTAACCACACCTTTATTAACCTCATTATCTACACACAAAATCTCTCCCCGGAACAAGGGCCAAGAAAGAAGTGTTTATCAGATGCCATTTCTTCTATAATCTGCTGAAAAAGTCTGAAAATGGCGATAAGAAGGAACTGGCTGTACTATCACAGAAGGTATCAGATTGGTTGCAACTGTTTTACTTGATTCTAGGAACAGCTAAAAGAGATTTAATGTCATAGAGTAGAAAACCTAGTAGAGATCTAGGTTTGAAGGGAAGCAGATGAAGGGAAGCAGATCATTTTCTGGAACCACCCTTAGTTCTGAGTGCCCAGATATTGACTACAACCAAAAATTTGCCACTTCAATGCCAGCTGACATGCCAAATATGCTCACTTATAGAGCTTGTAGGTTTGGTCCAAAGACGTACACCTTACATCTGGACTTCTATCATGTATTCCCATGGCTTTGCCTCCGAAATAAACAAAAATTGGTACCAAAGGCAGGCCAAACTGTTAATCATGAACACTTCTACACTGATTTCCAGTCTGTTTCTAGGTTCCAGTCACAGTTTTGGCGATAATCTTCAAATCCCTGCCAGACTAATCTTACAATTATCAGATTTCAGCAAAGTATTTTGATTAGCAAAATGATTAATTACAGTGGGAACATTATGAGATGGGTCCATAATTGATTGAAAATCTGTGCTCAAAAAGCCTTCGTCAATATCAATGGCTACGCTTAAGACTGAAAGGAGGTATTGAGCTTCTGTCCTAGGGCCATTACTCTTCAACATTTTTATTAGTGGGGTAGAGGAAATTGTTATCAGGTTTGCAGGTGATACAAAACTGCATGGCTGGCAAATACACTGAAAGACAAGAACAGATTTCCAAAGAATCTAGAATCTATTAATTGTATTGATTTTGGGTCAATTTTCTATTTTATCTAGAGGTGCATCCACACAGTGTGGAAAACACGTGGCTTCATGGATTTTTATGTGGAGCATCCAAACGACGCCCCATGTAAAAACAAACTTCTTTGGGACAAAGCAGGAAAACCTTGCTTTTCCCTGAAGTAATTTGATAGTGGATTAGATCCAAGTCTTCCTGAAAGACCCGTGTCTCACCCACTATGGCCGCTGTCTGGACTGCCCCCTCGGAAGTTCTGGATCTTTCAAGGGGGCAGTTCACACAGCCATCTCGCATTTTTCAAGCTGAATCAGCCCGGAAAACTCAGAGGGCTCTATCCCCCTCCCCCAAAACCCCCAAAAGCTTTTAAAAAGGAAAATGACTTACCCAGCAGGCATTACCTTACTGCCGGAGCTCTCCTGGCACGTCATTCCTATGAGCCAGGAGAGGGCTGGCAGCAGGGTAATACCAGTTGGGAAAGTAATTTTTTACACCACCATCCCCTCAATGAAAGTGTGCGGTTTTTCCAGTGTGGGGACAGATGTACAGTCTGATCCGGGTTTTTAAAACCCGGGTTGGACCGGATTTTTCCCATCTGGATCTGCCCTAGGCAGACTTGGGCTTATTATTAAGGTACAATATGATTTATCTGTGCATATCCCACCTTTCTCCCAGTAGGGGACACATGGTTTGAGTTAGTATAAGAGAGTGGATCTCTGGTCTGAGTCTGCTTGCTTTGGGAGATATTGTTCGAATCATTTTTTTTTTACTTTGCACTAAGGGGTTGTTTTTTTTTTTTTCATTTTCAATATTATTGTTGCTTTAATGGACTGTTTAGGGAATTTCCCTACTTTTTATGAAGATGTAAGAAAGAAAATATAACTACATGGTGTCTTCAGTCATAACAGAGAGAACAAAACTGACTCACTGTACAAAATAGGCCAAGTATCTGCACTTACACTACAGCCCAGCTTGGAACCAATTTTGAAGAACCAGTTTTGCTGCATGGATGATCAGATTGACAGGTCTGGAACTGGTTTGAGGCCAGGAAGGTGATGATATTCACTGCTCAACCTGTCCTTAAATCACTCTGTGGGGTTCCTTCTCCCCTTTTTCCAGGAGAGATGTGCAGCATAAGAAGTGGGGCGGGAAGTGTCAGTGAGGATTGGAAATAAGCAATTACCCCCACCACCACCACCCCAGGGGGGTCAATCAGGCTTCTGCCAGCCACCCATGTCCTTGGGGCATTTTTTGAAGCTTCCTTGTTCCAAATAGTACAAAATGCTTCAGTAAGGGCAGGTGTACTCAATGTGCTCCGCATTCTGAAAAGGCGATTTTGCCCTGGGATCTGGAGTGCATTCGGATCTGCTGCGGTGTATTAAAGGGCTTACTCAGGCTGCATTTGACTCGATTTCAGTTTCTGATTTTCTGTAAAGGTTTAGATTACCTATGTACAGCAAGTGAGAGATTTTTGGTGAATTTCTTGCTGTTTGGTAGCCTAGGTTTATTTTCTGTAGAATTATTGACAGTGGGATCAGTGCAATAATGAACAGCAGTGGTGACAGTGAGTCGCCCTGGAAAACTCCTCTCTTGATGTTAACAGTTCCATAGCTTTCGTTGCCCATGAACAACTCAGTTTTCCATTGTTTCATCGCATTTTCAGTGAAGTTTCTAATATTTTCACAAACTCCGATGACATCTAGACATATTACTATTATTATTTATTAAGTTGTTGTTGTTGTTGTTGTTGTTGTTGTTATTATTGGACTAAGAGACAGAACTGCTGTGTGAGTGACAGTTAGCAATAAACAAAATAGTAACCAAAAAGGAGAAGAGAACAGCATTCTTTTCTGTAACATGGCTACAGGCACTATATAATAAATAATTGTTGCAGTATGCCTAAAAGCCACTTCCAACTTATACTTTTCCCAGGGTGTTTGCCCTTGCCTTTGTCTGAGGCTGAGAGAGTGTGACTTACCCAATGGTTTCCAATGATTGAGTGGGGATTTGAATCTTGGTCCCTCACCATCCTAGTAAACAATTTTTTTTCATGTTAGGAGCAACTTGAGAAACTGCAAGTCGCTTCTGATGTGAAAGAATTGGCCGTCTGTAAGGACGTTGCCCAGGGGACACCTGGATGTTTTGATGTTTTACAATCCTTGTGGGAGGCTTCTCTCGTGTCCCCGCTGACAGAGGGAGCTCATCCGCACTCTCCCCGGATTCGGACATGCGTCCAATGATTTAACCCATTGTGCCACGGGGGGCTCCTAGTAAACATTATAACTGGTGGTTATAATGAATAATCTATATGATATAGATACAAAAGTGAGAGTCCACATAGCATGAAAAGAGTTCCCCGGGAACTCATAGCTTGGATCTTGCTAGGGGAACATTTTCTGCATCCTTTGCAATATTTGCATGAAAATACACATGAATAAGCATAATATTGCTGAAAGCTAAAACACAAACCAGAGAGAAACATTGTCACCACATTATCTATTTAATGCAAACCAGACAATTTTTACCACATTAGCTATTTTATGCAAGGAAGCATTTTTTTTCCCAGTACTCCTGCAGTAGTGTAGAGAAAAGCTGTCTGATCGGCATAAGTCACTTCCTAGGTATCCGGTAGGGCTTGGCTCCAGGACCTCATGTGGATACCAAAGTTCGTGGGTGCTCAAGTCTTATATACAATGGCCTAGTAAAATGGTTTCCCTTATATAAAATGATAACATCAAAATTTGCTTTCTCAATGTTTCCAGGATTTTAAAACAATAGAGGGTTGAATCCACAGATGATTGAACCCATGAGTATAGAGGACCGGCTGAAGTTCATCATGTGGCTAAAGCTATTTAAAGATATTAGCTGAGATGGCATCCACATAAACTCTTTGACAAAAGCACACAAGCCTCTGGTTAGAAGGATGGCAGAATTCACTCTTAAAGGAAGTGTGGAAACCAGAGATACTGGATGCATTCTCTCATAGGAAACCACTGTGGGCGAATATTTAAACCCATATCCCAAGGGCCTGAGGCAGCAGGAGGCTTTCCTTTTGTTCTCTACCCTGCATGGTCTGAAAGGCAAACTGGCAAACTCTGGTGCATCACAGAAGAATGCTGAATGTTATTCCAAGCCTTTATGGCTCTGTACCACATACAGAAAGTGTGCATTTACCCACCCTAACACGACACACTTGAAATGAACTTGGAGATAGACACACTCTTTAAAATGAGCAAATCTGCTGCCTTAGACAAAAGACATAATAGTCCTTCTCTTCCCATTCAAAAGACAAACTTTCTCTTTTCTGATGGCTGGACCAGCTACTCACCCAAAACTCCATTTCACAAAGAAGGGAATGCGGGTGAATATCTATCTTCCTCTGTGGCAATACCTATTCCTCGAGGCTCCTGCACATCCACTGCCTAAGGCAGCCACCTTACTTTGCCCAATGGTAAGGCCAGCCCTGTAGAATCGTCTAGTAATAAAAGGTAAAGTGCTTATCTTTATGGCATTAGTATCACCGTTTGTTTATCTGGGTGCAGTACATTGATGTACGGTATGCATTATCTATGAGAGAAGCGGAAACATACTATATATGCTATCATTTCATAGTGTTACTCTTCCCACTGTGTGTCAAATGTATGTTTTTATTAGCAGCATGTACCATCTGGGAGGACCTGGTGGTGCAGCGGGTCAAACCACTGCGTTG